CACACACACACACACACACACACACACACACACACACACACACACACACACACACACACGGACAGAAAAACAAACTCACACATATGCCTTCACACTTAAATCGCCAGTACTTTAGGCCCTTCCCTTGCAAAGCCTCGAAATACACTGAACCAGTGCACGCCTACACTGAACCAGCGCAGGCCTTCTTCTGGCTTGTGACGCCAGCCATTTTGCTCCACTTGGAACTGACCCCCGAAACTAGCAGACACATGCATGCCGCATGGAAGAAAAATGGATTGGAAAAAACTGGTGGTTTAACACACACACACACACACACACACACACACACACAAAGTTGTGTTTCCACTCACTCCTGGCCTCGGTGAGGCATGGGAACAAATGCCTGAAAGGCCGGTTGGCTGCAGACAGGTACTTTCTGGTGAAAGGTGCTCCTTCTCAGTGCTGCAATTCACATTGATGCAGTGGAACGACGAACACTGTGAAAGAAGAGCCTTTATGAAGGGCCGCACTGCAACCCCTTACAAAGAAAGGGGTCACAGCGTAGGCATACACTTTCCGCTCAAGGAATCAGTATGTCTCTCTTTTTCTTTTTGTTTTTGGATCGTTTCTCGATTTATGTGTGTCATCCTTGCGCAAGGGCCATGCTAATTAATCTTCTCTGTATTGTTCCAATTTCAACAGATGTCCTGAAAGACTCGCTATTGTCAATCAACACCTTGCTTTCTTCTCCCTTCCCCTTCCCCCCCCTCCTACTGCTCTCCAACCCCTTCTGCAGCACTGCAAACTACCCCATCAGGCAACAGATACAGTCCACTGAAGTCCAGCATGAGTCAGGCAAAGCAGAGAATAAAACACATTCTGTACCTGGGCGCCAAACCAGCATGAGGGGCCAAAAAGGTATAAGAAGAGGAGAGAGAGGAGTGGCCACACTTCATAACACCTATGTCTTTACGTAATACATTGAACGGCTTGACCGCTCTAGAACAAGAAAAAGGCCAAGTAGTTGGGGTACGAAGGGAAGAAAGAGACAGGCAAAGTGGAGAACAAACACAATCTGTACCTGGTCGCCAATCTCACCTTATGTTGCTCTCCTTGATTTCATAATAAAAACTGCGAAACAACCCACACACACAACAACAACAAAAAAAAATAAAAAAAAATCAGGACTATCGGACAGAAGAACAAGGGCGAGGCGACGGCAGAGGGAAGACGAAGAATCACACATTATGCCAGATTCTATTCCTTTTTTTCAAATTTTTTCACCGATTTCAGCTTTCATGATTTCATTTTTTATTAAACTAAAGAAGAAAGAACAATAGAGTAAATATAGACCGAGGTAGATATGAAAACTAAATAAACATAAACAAATATCAAATAAATAAGATATAAAATAATGTAATAAATTAAATCAATAAATATTAAACAATTAAATACTAAATCAATGAATATCAAATTTGATTAAATAAATAAAAGCAGACCACTGTAGATATGACTGCAAGATCTGGAGCCCAAAGTCAGTAAACAAGACAGAGGGCCTCACTCCGCTACTCACCACACGCACAAAAGACAAAAAGAAATGGTGTTGTATCTTCCCATGTTCTAGCGGAAGATTCATTCTCATCTTGCTGATTCGGCGAGTAGTGCGGCGAGGCCCACATTCTCAGCATGAGCAAGAACTGCCAAAAAGTGTCTTCCTGATCAGGGTTACTCAGGCGATAGGCCCTTACGGCACGGCACACAAACTGAAGAAAAGAAACGAGTGCATCTGCCCGCAAAAAGCAGCAAAATACATTTGTTACTCGTTTGACTAAATGGATGAACGATTCCATTTCCTGCGGGAAAATGCGCTCGTTTCAGTTTGCACTTCGTGCACCCAGCGTTCACACTGGGACTTTACTTCAACTCAGCTGTGGGTGTGATCTGGGTCAGATACATCAAAAACTGGTCGTAACTGCAACCAGATACATCCACCTGTGACTCGAAGTGTGAGTGTGTTTTTTTCTTTTTCCAATTCCAATGGACCATGGATTCGATATTAAACTGATCCGAACAGACAGTGATAAAGTGCCCCGCTCTACCGCTCACCAAATGTGCAAAAAGAGAATGACTCTTCCGCTAGAACAAGGGTCGATGCACCACCATAATTTTTCGTCTTTTGTGCATGCGGTAAGTGGGTGTAGCAAGGACCAAAGCGGAGCGTGCAAAAGGTGGTTTTGTTGAGCAACACCAACGGGCCTACCGGTAGTAGCTCAGTTGGTAAACCCATGAATTGTTGAAAAAGAAGACCTGAGTTCGAGTCCACACGAACTTGGCCAATGAAATCAAAATAAAGACAAAAAAAAAAGAGCCTGTTGAACAGTGTTTGCTCAGACAACCAACCAAAATGCGCGCAAGTTCATGATGGAGAAAACACAGGAGCCCACCCCTGTTAGAAAAAAAGCAGAGGACCCCACCCAGGCCTCTTAACCTACCAGGGGCTTGGCATATGCTCAACCCAGTTCCCTGCTAAACAAATAAGACCCACCCACTCCCCACCCCCCGAAGAGCAGGCCCAAAAAGTAAAAAAGGGGGAGGGGTGCCCAGGGCAGCAGAGTAGCACTTGATTGACAGGAGATGGGGCAGTAAAGAGGAGGCAAGTAAGGAGAGACAGAGGAGGAAGAGGACGACGAGCGGGGTAGAGGCAGAAGAGGGACAAAGGCCTGTCTCTTATACACATCTAGATGTGTATAAGAGACAGGGATGAAGCAGAGGGGAAGCGAGACGCAAGAGGACAATGGTAAGGCGGGTGGGAGGAGTGAGTGACAACAGGAGGAGCACGGAGAAGGAGGTGGAGAGGCGAGGGAAGAGATAAAAGAGAGGGGGTCAAAGCGGAGGAGGAGGAGGAGCAGAGGAGGAGAATGAAGCAGAGGAGGAGGCAAAGGCAGGAAGGAGGAGGAGGAGGGAGAAGCAAGAGGCAAATGGAGAAGCAATAGGAGGGGGAAGTAGAGGAAGAGGGAGCAAGAGAAGAGGGGAAAGTAGAGGAAGAGGGAGCAAGACAAGATGGGGAAAGTAAAGGAAGAGGGAGCAATACAAGATGGGGGAAGTAGAGGAAGAGGGAGCAAGAGAAGGAGGGGGAAGTAGAAGAGAGGGAGTGGAGGAGGGAGAAGAAGCTGGTGAGGGAGAGAGGACTCAGAAGATACACACAGGAGGAGGAGGAAAAATGAGGGCAGGGAACTGGGCAGCGGGAGCAAAACCGCGGCTGAGGGAGAGGGAGGTAGAGAAGAGAGTAAGGAGCAGCAACAGAAGCAAAGGGAAAGAGCAAGAAGAGAAAGCAGAGTGACCAATGCACCGGGAAGGATCAGAATATGCAAGGAAGCGAACAGGGAGGAAAACGGATGGACCACCAATCCGGATGAAAATAAGCGAAGAGGACAACAAAACGACCAAGGATGAGTGACAACAATCTGATCCTCGCCTCTCCCCTCCTCTCCTCTCCTCTCCTCTCCTCTCCTCTCCACTCCACTTCCTCCGTTACAAGAATATATTGAGAGAAAGAGGAGCATAACAATCAGTTTGGCATTTCGTAGATGAAGCTATTTTGGAAACAGGCAAGGAGGAATAATTGGGCACGTGCGCGAGGTCATTCTATTGTTAGCATTAACCCTTCAGCCCTGGAGATGGACAAAACGCATCCTTCCTTGAGAGGAGGCATGGGTGCGTGGGTCTGAACGGATTTTCGTGTTTTGTGACAGTTGTCGGATCTCCTGCAGTCATTCTATTTTCAGCGTTAATTAATTAATTAATGTAACAGACACAGACTGTTTTTTTGTTTTTTTGTTTTTTTTTAAGGGAAGAAACCTTGCAGTCTTTTTTTTTTTAAGCATTAAATTAATGTAACAGACGCAGATTGTTTTTTTTTGGGGGGGGGGGGGGGGGG